AATCTTGCTGTATGTTATACCAATGGAACTGGGGTAGAAAAGGATGAAACAAAAGCAGCTGAATGGTATAAAAAAGCTGCTGAACAAGGAGATCTCAGTGCTCAATTTAATCTTGGTTTGTGTTATGCCAATGGAATTGGAGTAGAAAAAGATGAAACAAAATCAGTTGAATGGTATAAGAAAGCTGCTGAACGAGGAGATGCCAGGGCTCAAGTTGGTCTTGCTAATATGTATTACATTGGAACTGGAGTAGAAAAAGATGAAACAAAAGCAGTTGAATGGTATAAAAAAGCTGCTGAACAAGGACATGTCAGTGCTCAATATAATCTTGCTGTATGTTATACCAATGGAACTGGGGTAGAAAAGGATGAAACAAAAGCAGCTGAATGGTATAAAAAAGCAGCTGAACAAGGAGATGCAAATGCACAATTTAAACTTGGGGATTTTTATTATTTTGGAACTGGAGTAGAAAAAGATGAAACAAAAGCAGTTGAATGGTATAAGAAAGCTGCTGAACAAGGAGGTGTCAGTGCTCAACACAATCTTGCTGTATGTTATGCCAATGGAACTGGGGTAGGAAAAGATGAAACAAAAGCAGTTAAATGGTATAAAAAAGCTGCTGAACAAGGAGAAGCCAGGGCTCAAGTTAATCTTGCTGTATGTTATGCCAATGGAACTGGAGTAGAAAAAGATGAAACAAAAGCAGTTGAGTTGTATCAGAGTGCAGTAAAACAAGCACATATGTCAGTGCAATGTAAAAACAATAGGCATTATAGTGAAATAGCTGGATCAACATTTGATATTGCTTCAGTAGTTGAATTTTATCAATTACATGCTGAAAATAGAGATGTTTATGCACAGTATATTCTTGGTCTGTATTATGAAAATGGAATTGGAGTAGAAGCTAATATTGGAAAAGCACTTGAGTTATATGAAAAAGCAGCTGAACAGGGATATAGTAAAGCACGAAATAAAGTGTATACTTTTTATAAAGATGGGTTAGAAGTAAAGAAAAAGATAAGGGAAAAGATTGAGTTGTATAACAACAATAATAAGTACTTTTAAGCAAATTATTAGACGTAAATTGAGCAAAACCTTTTATATTAATATACAGGGACTGGAAATGAGTGATCAATTACATTTGTCAAATACGAGCCATAGGTTTTTTATAACATTATTAGAATATTGACAAACTTCAATGTACAGTCAAACCTCTCTAATAATAACCAGTCAAAATATAGCTCATTTTTGAAAGTGACCTTCTATAGCCCTCTTATTGCTAGTTGAATATGCAGTTAGACGGTATAGGTGGCATCGTGTTATTTCTTCGATTCATAAGACTTTATTGCGTGTTATCCTTTTTAGCATCTTTGAACAATTGTGATGAATTTACTCAGTAATCAAAATGTTGATTATTTCCTTGATTACAGAATTTATATTAAATATATGATAATAAATTATAAATTTGGCGACTAAGTATGATCAGGACTGTACGTGCCTGGTCGCACAACCAGCCACGTTGGACAGGCTCAAACACTATTCCTTCAACTATTAAACCGCAAACGGCTAATATGCATTTCAATCCATACCACTAGCTTATTATTGTTGTTGATAGTAACACGTTGAACAATGTGTAAAGCAACTTTTGTTCTATTCGTTCACACGGCAATTGCCAGCGCTTAATGATGAGGACGTTTATTGGTTAAGCGCAAGCTCTACTATTTTATGAACATCAAAGGGTTAGACTGTTGTTTTACTAATTTTATCCGACTGAATATAAGAATATGTAAAGTTAATAAAGTCAGTCTAATTACGGTAGAAATAGCGTTTTGCCAAATATCTTTGTTCATGAGTATACATCGATCACAGTCGTTAGTATTGTGTACATAATAACTTATGCCGATTCTACTAACACAAATGTTAATGCCATTGCAGTGAAATTTGATGAGTATAGCGTTCGTGATTGTAGAGATATTCACGAAAATGCGGTTTCGATTGATCTGCTCGTCGTTTATACGTGTGGAAACTCAAAAATTGTCCACACCCAGATTTGGATGTGTTTGCATGAACGATTGTAGTAAGTAACACAAACTTTATTTTAGTACTTGGATACCATACCAACTGTTTCCTCAATCGTTACTTTTTCCTCCCACATATCCAAATGCGTATGTCGACTGATGAAGACGGACCTCCACTTTCAATATTCATTTTTGTCATAGCTCTCTTGTTTCTTAGTGGTTTCGTTTGGATATTCTGTTGTGGCACATGCGTTGGCAGAGATGCAGCACGTGCATGTGGGCTGGGAAGGTGCGTGCCAAAGAATGATGGAGGACGTAGAAAAACACGGAGAACCGGACCCATCAGAACAGTAGACGATGTCGGACAAGAGGCATGGGAGATGTTGGAGGAAGGCCTTTACGTCGATGACGAGATTTGGAATACAGTTGAGGAAGAATTATGAGAGTAACGAGTGTTGTTTTTTTCGGGGTATGTTGAGAGAATTTGAGTGTACTGTTCAAGCAATCGGTTTAGATGGCAAAATTAGCTAATGTAATGATTCATCGAATAATTGTTTCAAAAACGAAAGTTTAACGATATTTATTTCCTTGTATCTTTTTAGATTTTCCTCACCTGTGATCATTAGCGTCGGATGATCAAGTTACAGAGACCAATCTTTGAATACACTTGCTAATCAGAACATAGTGAGAACACTTGCATGATCTCTTCATTATAGCAATCACTGATGTAATAATCACTGAAAAACTGACGAGTTGACGTCATAAATCTGAAAGTGAACAATAATAATAACAATAATAGATATTTACTGCCACGTAATAAATGTACTAATAACTAGAATTCTGTATTTCTTCGATTTAAGAAACTGATCAGATCATATTTGGTAGCAACACCCAGACACCATTTGCGCTCCGAATCAGTTACAACCGCAAAACTATGTTTATCCTATTATAAAGTTCAATTAGCCCGC